ACTGTGCACCTCTCTCGTTTGTTGAAAAAGAACGAGAGGTGGTTATGGAACGCTGAATGTCAACGCTCCTTTGAGGGTATCAAGCAGAGCTTGATACAATCCCCAGTCCTAGCAATAGCCGATCAGGACAGGCCATTTCATGTGGTCTGTGATGCCAGCGATTTCGCAATCGGCTGTGCATTAATGCAGTACGATCTTGAAGGCGTTGAACGCGTCGTCTGCTATCAGTCGCGTCAGCTGCAACCAGCTGAGCGGAACTATCCAGTGCATGACAAGGAACTCCTTGCCATGAAGTATGCGCTAGCGAAGTTCAGATTCTATCTATTAGGAGATAGACCCTTCGTTGTTTACACTGACCATGCGTCATTACGCACGGCAGTGAATAGCCCGCACCTTTCACAACGAATGGCGCGGTGGTTGTCATTCTTTGCAGAATACAACTTTACGGTCGAGTACAAACCAGGACGACTTAATGTCGTCGCTGATGCACTCTCACGTCGTCCCGACTTTGAACCAGTCGCGAAACCCAACAGTGAGACAGTCACTGTTGCGGTTATGACGTCCTCAGTTCCATCTACAATGCTGTATGATGATGTGAGGCGGGCATACGCCCAAGATGGTGAGATAGTGAAGTTGTTGTCACATCTCTCCCAACCATCCCGAGAATCGTTGAAACGATTGTCGCCTGCGTATCGATCTGCATCAGATCGATACTCTACTCGTAACGGTTTACTGTACTATACAGCCGTTTCTGGTGACACACCACGTGTTGTCATTCCAGATGATACTGATCTGCGTTTGCGGATCATGTTCGAGTATCACGATGCTCCTATAGGAGGACATCGTGGCCGAGAGAAAACATATCTCACGGTAAGTCGAGACTTTTACTGGCCCCGCCAGTATCAGTTTGTGCGAAAGTATGTTCGCGCATGCGAAGTCTGCCAACGAGTGAAGTCAAGTCCTTCACTGCGTGCACCTTTACAGCCTCTACCGGTTCCGGCTGAGTGCTGGGAATCCATCTCAATGGATTTCGTCTTCGGGTTACCCAAAGACGCACGCGGGAATACGGGTATTCTCGTATTTGTTGACAGATTCAGCAAAATGGTACACCTTGTGGCTGTACCAGAGACAATCACGGCAAGTGGCTGTGCTTGTGTCTTTATTGACACCATCTTCCGACTTCATGGGTTGCCCCGTGAACTCGTATCAGACAGAGATCCACGATTCACTGCTGATTTCTGGCGGTCCGTGTTCAAATCACTCGGAACGCGCTTGAAGATGTCAACATCTGATCATCCAGAGTCAGATGGTCAGACGGAACGTGCCAATCGTGTCCTTGAAGAGATACTTCGAGGATACGTACACTCCTTTAAGAGTTGGAGTGAGTTTTTGCCAATGGTAGAGTTTGCCATCAACAACTCGGTGCATGCGTCCACGACACATACACCATTTTACGTGAATGGCTTGCGCCATCCGCGTGTACCCACCTTACTAGAGTGTAACTCTGGTTTAAGGGGGGAGGGACTCGCGCGAGCAAAAACCGATTTGGTTCACGCTCATCACGCTCTGACGAAGAAGTCATTGCGTTTGATGCCGATATCGATAACATCGATATCGAAGAAGATGATGCCAGTGAGAGTGCGGAAGCCCTCACTGAAGACAATGATCCCAGTGAGAGAGCGGAAGCCCTCACTGAAGAAAAGGTTGTTGTTGCTGCAGTGCGCTCACAGCGCACTGAAGCTAACGAGTCATCAGATGAGTTCATACTGGCTCGTGAAACGGTAGTCCGTTTTGTGCAAGACTCCATCGCCGAAGCGGTGGATAAGCAAAAGCAAAACGCTGACAAGAATGGAAGGGCAAACACTCTTTTATTTAATAAAGGTGACTTAGTCCTACTGTCTACGGTTAATCTACCGAAGCATGTAGTGGCTAACTTGGGTAGCAGTAAACTACTACCCAAGTACATTGGCCCATTTCGTGTATTGCACCGCCTAGGCAATGCATACACGATCGAGTTACCACGTAAGGTGCAAACGCATCCCACGTTTTACGTTGGTCGGCTTAAGCCGTACCATCAGTACGCTGCTTCTTCCGATGAAGAACGCCCTTGCGCTCAAGCATCTCGCAGAGAGCCTTGTGCTCCCGATGGTGGGCATCAACAAGGGTCTGAAGAGCAGCTATCTGATCCCGAGACCGATCAACAATCCCACGAGCTACCCTTAGCTCGTCACGAAGAGATGTCAGAGATCTCTCGTTCTCAAGCTGAGCAAAGGCAAACTCAGCTCGATGCTTCGAGGCAGTGTCCACCATCTGGAGACGCCTATTCCGCTCATGCTCGAGATCGTCGCGTAACCCTTGCGTTACGCGATCAAAGAAGCTCTCGGGAACACACCGATCCACATGATCGTGTGGAGAGCGTCTTTCCTCCTCCTCCACCTCCATTAGAGGACTCTCGCGGTGGCCAGCGCTATCTAGTTGAGCAGCTGTTGAACCACCGCGACGTGAACGGACGTCGGACGAGTTACCTCGTCCGGTGGCGCGGCTATCCCCCGTCCTGGGATTCTTGGGAGCCCCGCTCCCAATTAATGGTTGACGTACTGGGTCTGGTCGAGCAGTACGACGCGGCACATCCTGTGCCGCAGAAGGACCGCCGGAGAAAGTCTTCCCGGCACGGTCGTAAAGGGATTTCAGGTTGTCAATCCCTTCGTACATCTCAGTAGAGACACGTACGCGCCACCACGGGCTGGTAAGGAGGTAAGCCTCCTTAGGTGCTCGTGCAGAGTTGTTCACACAACATGGGCACGAGTCTCCCCAAGAGAGGCAGGGTAATCCTTTCTCCCTTGACAGACGATGCAGCTTGTAGCGTGCACCTGTCGGGGTTCGCTTTTCAAACTTATCACGAGCTTTGATAAGTTTGTCGTTCCAAGCGTCACGACCTACATCCTCGAGGTTATGGATGTAGGCGTTCCACGCCTGAAGTAGTGAGGGACCATCACGTTTGTGATTCCCACTGTACCATCGATGTCTGAAGAAAGCATCGATGAAGAACTCATGTTCAGCGCGATAGTCTTTCGCGCTGGGGTCAAGGTGATGGATCCTTGACGAATCGAACAATCGTGTTCGATAACGATCACTCGTCGTCGCCGACAAGTGATCCATGACGGATTTTGGAGGCATCCATGCCTTCTTTTCTGGAGCGAGACGCAACACATTGCGGTCCCGCTCTTCCTGCGATGTGCCGACAGAAGTACTGGCACCTCGTTGCGAAGTGGTGTCCATAGGAGAACCGACACCACTGTTAGCGCCCGAGTCTCGCGACCTCGAGCGCCTTCGCTTCGGCGATGGTTCATCTGATTCATCAGATGAACCAAAGATGCTACGACGCAAAGCATCATCCTTGCCACGCTTGGCAGGCGGCTTGGATTCGATCGCCGTCGATACGTATCCATCATCCGTATCAGGAGAGTATGAGACACCGAGCTCGTACTCTGTGAAGACACGAGTGTCTTCATGACCAGCGCCTGCATCACCAAGTGACACAGGCTGGGTCTCTTCAGCAACCGATGAGACATCAGTTGCTGTTGTTTCTGCTTCGGCGTCCGCACAGAGACGTGCAGACGCGCTCTCGGCGGCCTTGCTCGCGCATCGCATGGGCTTGTTTACCATGCGATGAAATGTTGGAAAGTGGACGCGGACCAACAAGTGCAAACCCTGTCCCAAATGATTTGGGACGAGTATCCATTTAGTCAATCAGTCACTAAAGTGACTGATGGTTAAGGGGGTGATGTAACGGGGTGAATCGTTACATAACAATTTATAAGAAATTGTTAATAGAATATAACTATAAGAGTTATATTCTCAGAATATTGTCATAAGGACAAATATTCTGTAGCACTTACAAGTAGTTCCTAATTGGTTGATATAGGCCATTATATCAACCAACGAAGACGCGCCACGACAGACGCACGCAATGAGTGGTGAGCAGATAATTGATTTACACATTTGTATTTAGACATAGTTAGATGAAGATAAATAGTGATTTATTGCAGACATTAACTATTATAAATACAGTTCTACTTTTTACTCTAACCAAGTACTCGCTTCTTCTTACCGTCTTCCTCTGCACGTACGAGTGTACGTGAAGTTACGAGGCACCGCCTTATTCTGTTATCAGAATAAGTAGCTTGTACTGTCACCAGTACAAGCTTCAGGGTGCCCCGTTACACGTCCCGCTAGCTTAGTCCGCATAATTTGTCGAATTTGTTCTTCTTCGGCAGGAGTAGTCGAGTGCTTCCTCTTTTTAGCAATCGGTTGCTCATAGGAGTCCCAAGCAGAGGGAAGCAACGCCAGTTAGGACCCATTGGAGCTTGGACGACCAATCGACGATTGGTCGATAGTGACCTCTGTGGAAAGCGAATACTCTATAGTCTGCATAACGACGTCCTTGCCCCCCCGAATGTTGCGACTCCGTGGGGTCCTTATTAGTCTCGTCGAGAAGAGAGCACTAATCAACACTTGGAGAATCGGTGTGAACGTAAGCCGAGTAATAATCTCCCCAGAATCTCAAAACAAGAGGTAGGTTCTTATCCGCAGAATTAGCTACTGCGATCGCGTGCGCGCACTGGCTAATATCCAATGGTACGTGTTGTCTGGTCTCCAAAATTTTGGCTCTCCTTGTAATCGTGCTAGGACGATACAGGGAGCAGGCCCCAGGAATTGAAGTCATCCGTTTTATGTGCGAGTACAAATATCTGACGCTGCAGAAAGTTTGCCGCTATCGAAAAAATCTCGCAACTTCCCCAAAAATGATTCTCAATTATTGCTAGCCGGGTTGATGGTGTCGCAGATTATTCATGTAGGTACACTGAAATTGTTTCGAGGAACTCCTAGCGTCCATTCCTTCCCAGCCCCGCGACACATTTACCAACGTCCCCGTGCGGTCAGAGTAAATAAATTGCTCGTCAAAATTTAATAAACCCGTCCAACAGACGCCACGCTTATTACAAGCGGTACTGTTCTCCAAAAATAGTGTCTTGGACAACCATAACTTGGTCCGCCACCGCTTGCGCGATCGCCATCTCCGGACAATTCCCTGTAGCGGAGGTTATGACTGGTCTTAGACCAAGGGCCCGTTCGATAGCGGGTAAATCGTTAATATCGCGTTCCACAAAACTCTCCACCTGTAGCAGGAGCCCCGTGCCAAGATTACCATCTGCCAATACCTTGCGTAACGTAGCTCGTTCGCGCTGCTTGAGCGTAACAAGCTGAGATGTCGGTCGCCGGCTAGGTAGTTTCGATGAACGGACATGCAGCAATTTCTTCTCGGCCGCCAAAGTCTGGGGGACCTCGACCGGTTTAGTGAAGGTCTCAGCCGTGAGGTCTACCGTGTCCTCGACAGATGGGATGGGTGTACCGGTCAATAGGCTAACGTCTGTTTCCTCTGGCCACTCAACGAGACCCGCGTAAAATAAAGATGCCACTGTATTAAGCGTTGCAAGTGTCTTCGTACGGGGTTGGAGCTTCTTACCCCTGCGGATAGGGACCGTCACCCATTTCCTCTTGGGCACTGTTGCAGTCCCACGGACATCCGAGGGAGTCTGTGAAGTGCCAGCGCTAGGTATCGTGGTCTCGGGTGTGTTGGGTGTACCTGACACGGACGAGGTAGGTTCCACAGCCGCCTGCCTCCTTTTGTCCTGGTCCTGCTGTAGTTTCAACCTGGTCGCAGCCGCCTCTTAAAGTTCATCCAAACTGCTAAATGGCGCGGCCAAATCCTCTAGACCGGATATTCCGCGGTCAGTTGCAACCCTGCTGCCGGGTCTGGACAGTTGTTCCGCCGTGTACGAACATCTCGCCATGGTGTGACCCAAGTCCCCACAATACAGACATTGTAGACGACGCCCAACATCTGGGTGCTTAAGAATGATAGGTCCGCCAAACCAAATAAGGCGTACGATTCCGCGCAAAAATTCAGAACAGCCAGCCACCCTGACTGTCAATCGCCACACAGTAGAAGTTCGGGAATAGGGTGTACACGCATCCATATCCCCCAAATTAAAGTCTGCAGCAATATGCTCTTGGAAATTAGCACTCAGCCGGCCAATATCCGTGAAGCGGGTGAAGTTATGTAGCTCCACTGCATATTCCCGCTCAGTGGCCAAACGCGTTCCATCACGGCTGAGTTGAGGAGTCCAAACCGACCCCTTGGACGGAATATGCATGTTGGTCACACGGTATACCTCGTTCCGAAACGGTACGGAAACCAACTAGAAATCCCGTGCCGTAATACGGTCAAAAAAAGGGAATGCAGCGTTGAAGGGCGTTGTAGCTTATCGTCTTAGCAACATCAAGAAAAAGCAGAAGAAATTTCTGGTCCACTCGCAATTGTTCCGCAGCCAACAATTTGTCTTCCTAGATAGCACTTGTGGTCTGTCGACACAGACAAATGTTTTCCCGCTACGCAGGTGCAACACGAGTTCACCCTCCACCTGATTCAGAATAGTCCGGGCAAGTCGGACGCGTTTCTTCGAATCCAGAACACAACTTAGAAACACCGGCAGTCGCCTGCATACGATGCCCGCATCCTCCACTCATCTAGTGTGCCGTCACGAAGCTGGACACCGCTCCTGGAGGTTGCTGGCTGCAGACACAGCGCCCGTTAAGTCCCAATGTCCTGCGAGTTGCTCCCCGACGGATTAAACATGACGACTTTGTAGGTGTCACGGTGATCTTGGAGGCGTTCCCCTCCCTCCGTGGCTCCACTGTCCGTCTTGGGGGACGTTGCCCACTGATACATCGGCTTCAGCCTAGCCCATTTGACCTTGCGGGTCAAGCTCTGCAATAGGTTAGAAGGTCCAATTAGTGTTGTAAATTCTTGGGTCAATTTGTGGCGTACGCTGCTCAATCCGCGTACTTGGCATCACAGCTCACACACGCGACCTCGAAGAATTCGAAAAGGGTGACTCCCTTTTCACGTCGTAATCTTGGGAAACGCTTCTTTTCCGGAGGGACTAGCTCCTCATCAATTTTGACGGAGTCGTGGACTATCGTGAATAGCTCAACTAGCGTCGCACGCCATTAGTCACGTGGAGGGTCATTTATCGCCATTTGTCGAGCCTCTAACAACGCCACGTATATGCCTTGCGGACGGAAGACTAAGGGCGATCCGTCCGGAGATCCATCACGCGTCGTAGTGTTAAGCGACGGGTCTCCTGGGATAGACGGTGAACTGGCTTCCGGCTTGGAATTTAGCGACGGTTGGGTAGGGACCGGCTCCGTTTTGAGTCCCTGCTTAGCCTTAGGCGACGGTTGACAGGGAACAGGCATCGAATCGGTAGAGACGCTCTCAGGCACGGCTGTGTCGCCGAGGGTTGCAGACGAGGCAGACGAGGGTCTCGCGTTATCTCCCTCCGAAAGGACAGTGCGTTGATCCGCCCCTCCCCTACTGGGCAGCGACCCTTCCCTGGGAGAGTGGCCCTCCGGCTCCTGAGGTCGACGATCGCCTACCTCTTGGTCAGGCGGTACGCTGTCATGCGGCGGCAGTTCCCCCGTGACGGGATCCGCCGATCCGCGAATGGGGCGTGAAGGACTACAGAGGCCGGGCTCAGGCTGAGATGCGTGAGGCAGGTTGGCGTACAAAGAGTACTTTCAAACCTGGCAGCTGGTACGGGGCTGACAGGGCGGTACGCGGAGCGTTGCAAATTTTGAAAGTGATGTAATAAGCTGGAAACGTTGGAGGTGGTATTTGATTCTATCAAACACGGACGTTTATAGCACGGAACTTCCAGTATACCATATGGATGATCTCCAGGATTTTACTTTCAGTAACTATAAATTTACACGAATATATTGATATAAGCGTTTCTGTCTAACTACCTGCACAATTAATAATTTATTTCATGCACATCAGTAATGAGTTATTTATTTCGATGAAATCGCACACAATTTACATCAGGACCTCTCAGTTTTTTAACAGCCATCAACAACTTCACTCGTGATCAGCAGCAGCAGCGAAATGGCAGCCGTCGAGACCCGCACTCTTGTTTTCTTGGCGCCAGTGTACCCTGACGTATGCAATTTGCATAGCTCCGTCCCGGTGGCGCTACAGCGCACAAACGATGACTGGCTCAAACTCGTGTTTTCTTCGAGTCCGAATACCTTCGTGGAGAAAGAGGCGATTTGTGTCAATAGTCACGCTGGCTGTCGATGCGACTACGTGCGACTGTTAAGAGCCCTCATGGTGTTAACTGAACGAGAAGTTTTATCGGTTGTTGGAGATTACAATGTGGCAACAACTGGTGACCACCGAACCGTCGCCACGTTGCGAATGCACGTGCAGGTCCATCGTCATGCAAGTGTTTGCGACCCCCTTCACGATTTCCACCTGATTTTGTGTCACTTGCAAGCACAAAGTTTGTCGATCGTAAGAAAGAGTATGTCGTACAGTATTAAAGACCGAGAAGCGCAACTGACGGACGCGACGAGAAGTTCTTGTCACGTCGTGGGCTGTCGACTGCATGCATGGAAGCCTGATGCCAACCTTGGCCCGAAGCCAAAGTTGCATCTTTCCGATGTATTTCAAAGCCTCATGACGGACATGGAAGCCGAGAGAAAATTCAACGTTCGAGACAAAGGAATTCGTGGGTCGCCAACTGTACAATTGCAGCCTCGACTTACAACGTTGCTGAAAAATGCGTTACACATTGTCGTGTGTTTTCTGAAGACCAAAGATGTAACATCTTTGGCGAGAGTGTGCTCGGTTTTCCAACCTCTGGTCTATGAAGTCGTACCTGGTCTCAATTTAGTACTGCACGACCACCAACAAATGGGTCTTCGTTGGATGTTGAATCGTGAAAGGCCGTCGCGAATCGAAAACCTGTCAATGTTGCATCCGTTTATTTTTCCGCGACAACCTGGAAAAAAGTCAAATGTGGCAGTACATTTAGTTGATCACAAAGTAGTAGAACAAGTTGATACACGAGCGTTTGATATGTGTGGGGGCATGTTTTGTGACGAACCGGGTCTTGGAAAAACAATCACGATGTTAGCGATGATTTTACGAACAAAACGCTTATCAACAAGTACTGCACGGAATGTGGTTACGAACCTTGATGAAGACGCAGCGGTCGGTCGTTGCTCTATCGGCATGCCGGATCGCTCTATACCAGCTGAACATCTTGTGACTTCGAATGGATCATTAATTGTTGTGCCTGACCCTCTTGTTGAGCACTGGAAATACCAAATTGAAGCCCATGTGGCTCGCGGTGCGTTACGAACATTTGTCGATGAAGGTCGTGCGGATCTGCCACGAAATGTTGACTTGGCAGCTTATGATGTGGTTGTCACGTCTTTTCGACGATTGACAACAGAGTGGAGGCTCCACCGACCTGCTTCTGCACTAGAAACACGAATGCCAGAACGGTACGGGTTTGAAGGCCCTCAGCGATACGCAGACGGGACCAATCGAGGAGAAGTGTCGTCTCTTTTGACTGTACAGTGGACCCGCGTGATCATTGACGAAGGCCACAAACTTGGCGGACGAACGCCTACTAACTTAATGCTAATGGCACGAATCATATCAGCTAAACGAAGATGGGTCATGACCGGAACACCAACGCCAAACACGCTCCAGTCAGCCGACCTGCGCTTCATGCATGGCCTTTTAGTTTTTCTTCAAATTGAACCGTACGGGCAACCTGATGGACGTGCGTGGACCAAAGCTATTGCTCGTCCGTTTGAGCAAAACGAACCAATTGGATTCTTTCGCTTGCAAAGTCTGCTCAGCCGGATTATGATGCGTCATACCAAAGAGTCGATTCGTGAAATCCTACCAGAACCAACTCGGCATACAGTATTCATTGACCCAACGCCGAGTGAATACGCACAATATAACGTCATTGCTGCTGCCGTGCGCGCAAACCTAGTGATTACGAATATGGATCCCAAACATCCAGGAAAGTTGCATTTGGACAGCTTGCTGAACCCGACGAACCGAAAAGAGGCCTTGCGGGTAGTTTCGAATCTTCGTTTTGCGTGCTGTGGTGGCGTCAATAGCGAAGTCGTGCTATCGGACAAAGCTCTCCTTGAAACGGTCAATATGCTCACGGAGCTCGAGGTGGATGCTGACAATATTGCTACTGTTGCAGAATATTTGCGACGAGTTAAGCTGCCAGGGATGACTACGACGTGTGAGTGTTGCAAGCGGAAGCTGCAATTGTTAATGGTCATGCCGTGTGGTCACCTTTGCTGCGCGGATTGTGTGGAAGACCGCTTTAATGAAGTCGGACCAAGCTGTTATAAGTGCAACGAAGTGTATGACCCTGAAGTCTTCCAAGAACTTCAGCCAGGCTTTGACTTTCGTGAGATTGATGATGCCAACGATGCGATTACGAATACTAGTAGTAGTCGTCATAATGCCAATCGACCACAACAGCAGCAGCCAGGAACGTGTGATCGTGGTGGTCAGCGGCAACATCCAGCTGCATCTGGAAGTATCGCCCGCGAGCAACCTCAACCAAATCGACATTACTGGACGGTGGATGCCAGCAAGATATTTTATGCAGCGACCAGAGTTCGACAACTAAAAAACGAGTTTGCGCGCTGCCCTATCGTCCATGGGTCAATGCGGTGTCGACAAACGCGTTTTGTGAAGGTGATCATCTTTTCTCAATTCACTGAGATCATCTGGCGTACCAAACTAGCGTTCGAACAGCAAGAAATACCGACCGCAAATTTTATTACCCGTGTCAATCCAAAGGCGCGAATGAAGGCTCTGAAGCGCTTTCGCACCGATCCATCGCTCAATGTTCTCCTGCTGTCCGAAATGGGCTCCCACGGATTAGATCTTTCCTTTGTGACGCATGTGTTTCTAATGGAGGAGATCTGGGACAAATCTTTGGAGCAGCAAGTTGTCAGCCGGGCGCACCGAATGGGGGCACAGCAGGCAGTAGTAGTTGAACAGCTGTGGATGCGTGGAAGTGTCGAAAGTGAAATGGCGAAAATGAACGAGCTCGACGAGAGACATACGAGTGATCCGCCCCGTGTCATGCATAGACTTGGTCCGCCTGTACGAACAAGAAAGCGGCTACGTGTAGGCGGAAAGGCATTGCTGAACGTGGCCGGCACGAAAAGGAGAAAGCGCAATCGTCGTGGGGACGCTAAAAAAGTGCCTATCGACAACAAGAGCAGTTTTCTTCAGCGCAAGCTCGACTACGTCCTTCGTCACCTGCGGTTGCTGGAAAACAATGCTGTTGCAGAGCCTGGGCAAGTTCGCTTTTCCGTCGTGGATGAAAAGGCAGGAGTCACAGTTCGTCAAGCCATTCAGACGGTGCAGTACCCCGATACCCCTGCGACCACTCCTCCTTCGTCGACACCTCTACGACCGCGCGAAAAAAGAGTTCCAGCGTCGCAGCTCACACAAACCAGTGCCACTCATCAACGCATGCCAACAGCAAAGCAAGCTGTACGTACATCTTCTTCAGCTCGGCAAACGACTGATAATAGAAGTAGTGCCCACAGGTCGACCTCAAATGTCGCGGACGCTGTAAACAGGGAGCAATCGAGAGATTCAACTAAAACAGCAGTTGAAAACCGTCCGGCTGGAAAAGCAAAACGACACTCTCAATCTGCTCAACACACCATTTCGGTCAGGCCAGTGGCAGCCACTTCAACACGTCAAGTTGCACCAAATACTGGTAGCACCGTATCTAGTGCAATCACCGCACCACCGACAACCTTGCTGCAGAACAAAGATGACCAAACTGTGCCAAAGAAAGCGTTGCTGTTGGCTGCGCCCAGCTTGTCCCCTGCACGCGTAAGATCGGAGGCCTTAACGGAAGCGAATCAACGCATCCGGAAGAAAAGACCGGACTCACGATCAAGCTCTGACTCAACGGACATTACTCGGATCAGGGATGCCAGCATATCTAGTCAGCTTCAACCACAGCTTCCTACAAAGCCTTCACTGACAAGAAAAATACCGAAAGAAGATCCCGAAATTATTGTGATCGATTGCTCCTTGTCTTTAGGGTCGGAGGGCAGCGTAAGTAAAGGTGACGCGGCCAGCGTGGCCAGCAGCAATTGCAGTGCAGACAACGAAGACAGCTCTGAAAGTGGCGATAGCGACAACGACAGTGAAGCAGAAGTCCTTCTTACCCGGCTCTGCTTGGTCGCAAAGCATATTTTTGGGCGGAAGCAACGACGCACCATCGCGGTGCGTAAGAAGATCGGAACCACACCAGTACCAGAAAAGAAGGCCCCACCAGCTCCATACATTGACGATGAAGAGACCGAGACGGAGTGACCGTAGCGCAAGACCTGTCGTAACGTGGCTTGTTTAAAAGTGTTGGTGTGACGATTGTATCGTCCTCTCCTTTCACAATATTCAAGAGTACTTGGAGAATTGGTCTATATCAGGTTGTTTGGCGTATGCAAGCGCGCAGATTGGTCGATACGAGGTCTGGAAACACCAACGTCTCCAGCTTGGCAAATTCTTGCGACCAACAGTGCTCTAACGGTGCCATCTCGTTCTGCTGCAAGCAAAAAGCTTCCGCTGGGTTTTGTGTGGGGCTGTAAATATCTTGCAGACGGTTTGCGGATGGTAGCAGTGTCGTTTTGTTCGATGTAAAAACTATCAAATAAACGTTTTAGTGATTCTGGGCCACGACTTTCTCCACGCATACCGTCACTTGAAACAAGATGGAACCACAACCTCTCACGTTGTTGTTGTTATGCGGACGTATGACCAGCAATTGAACGCAGAACATCATCGGTAAGAAGTCAGCCCCGATATATCTAACACTCTACCAGGTCATCATCGCAGCATATTCATCGCTGCGGATCTTCTCAGTCAATTCCAATCCTCATCGTTGATACTGATGAATAAAATTTTGGAAGTGATGTGCTCGTCCTTCCGATGTTTACTGAGTTCTTCCTCTCAAAAGTCTGGTGTGTTCGGACACGTATCTTTTCCTGAATCATTGATGTGAGTATGTTATCACTGAACCGACGCCTCAGACACATGATCGTACATGTTTTGGCAAGAATCACCCCTGTCTATCCATCACATCAGCAACGCGCGTCGCAGCGCTCTGCTTTCTGCTTGCTGGTGCCGCTTTTCTGAAAGCTTGCCAAGACAAGTGCAAGACGGCGGCATTTAACCAAAGCTGCCGACAACGAGTTCAGCAAAAAAATTCAACCGAATGCAGTCAACAGAATATTCTCGAAGAAATTCACGACCAGGTTGTATTTGTCTACCGAATTGGATACGACACCATTATCGGTAACATGGGACGTCTCCGTTCCTTCCAGTATCACCATTGCGAGCTCGCTGTCATTAAACTTGTTTCTTAGGTATCTGTCTTGGCATAGGGAATCTTGTTGTTAAACTCTACAATGTAACGATCCATAGCTTCCAGACTCTCGTAATTCAAGCATCGCTCCCGCAATTTGGAAGCAAGCAGGATCTGCATCAACGGATACGACGTCTTTTGCCAGCTTGTCAGCATTCCTTTTTGCGCCTGCTCTACACGATGTCCCGTGACATGACTCTTGTTTACAATTGACGAACTAGATGCAAATGTAGCCGCGCTACCAAAATCTGTCATCCACGTAATCAGCAGGTCGTTTCTCTCGCCGACAAAGTCTTTGACGTTTAAAGATCCGAATCATTGTAAACCTTGCTTGTCGTCGACTCACAATCCATCCGATAGATTTGTGAACTCGATTGTTGTTCCGAGCCATCATCGTCTGCATAAGTTGCGTAGAGTCGTCTTCAGATTCGTCTTCAGATTCGTTGGACTTTTCAAGAAACGTTTGATGTAGAGCCTGCTTCTCTTTTGCCGTCAAGATCCTCTATTTAGGTAGGATGGGACAGCTGTCGGCAGGTGACCTCTAAACACGGCGATCAAGTTCTTGTAATTGGATCCAAGATTTTTGTGTGAGCCCGATTGGCATGCAATGCTTCCATGGCTTTTCCAATAGCATGTGACATGATAGGGCCATAAGCTCGAACATCCTTTCTTCCTTCTTCATAATTTTTTGCGCGACCAGGAGACGATTGACCAGGACAATGTCGTCGTTACTGGCATTAAAGCGAGAACTGGTGGGGACGTCGACTATCTTTATGTTAAACGTGAGGGAACTTAAAACGGACGTCAAGAGTGCAGTAGTACGCACGAGTACAAAAATGAATAGTCACATGTTAAACGAGTGCTGTTGCCTATTTTGGCAGACCGATGACGTAACTCGCACGGTTGTGGATTGAGTCTGGTTAGGAGGCCCAGTGTATTTATTTGTATGGTTTTGAAAGTCCTTGATCGGAATGGTCAGCCCTTCTGCACGTGCATAGTTTGCGAGGGTTTAATCAATGGTGCTACCGCAACAATACGAATGTAACTTTCCTTGTAATTGCATTGTTTTAAATATTTCTAAAATGAGTTTAATTTGTATTTCCTTTAACGTATCACTCTGCTTAGCGATCTAGAATCAGTGTGCGAATCAATACGCCACCTTACCGAGATATGTGCGTAACTGGCGTCAAGATACTTGCGATTTTTATATTGAGTTTGAGGATGATGATGGAGTATGTCACTTGTCCTCATCGTCTCGCGGTCCCTAGCAAGCTGATAATTATACTTCGTTGTCGGCATATTATCGATTTATGCCACCCAGCTTCCTCAGACTACCCGGAGGTGTCCTGCGGGTTCAGTGACGATGTTCCTCGTTAGGAGCCCGAACCCCTTATTCCGCTATGGAGCTTCACGGCTTGCAGGGCCTTCAGCCTATCCAACTCTTACACACCCTGAGGTGCGGGTTGGCAAACGGCCACCCTTCGGTGGTCGCTCGTCTACATATTAGCCTGTCTCCGGCATCCTGTAATCGAATACCCTCCACCACAGGTATCAATCCAGGTATTCCCCGGTCCCAGTGTCAGAGCTGGGCCATTACACCCCTGGAATCGGTTCATTGGTATAACGTCAAAACCAATTCTGTGATGATGATGAAAGCGTGTGGAGCTTGGCCGTCAGATTCGTTTGTGCTGGTCACACACTCGCGTTTTTTTTGCATACTTGGAGTGGCAATAACTTTCCGAGATCACAAAAGCAACAATCAACGGCACGCCACAGCGGCCAGCTACTCTCTGCAGTGTCACGGCTGTATGCTGCGCTTGGCGTTTTTGATGTGATAAGGTCAATGCGCGCTTCTGTACTTACCGCATGAGTGCCGGAACAAACAAGCACAAATTAGCATTGATACAGCATGTAGCGTATCCGAGACATCTTCTGTCTACTTCACATTGTGCAACATTCAAACAAGGCGCAGATTTTCACGATGCACGCGGGTTTTAGCTGCTTGGCTGTCGTTCTACGCATGGCGGAGGTTCAAAATCATTGCCTCTTCCTATCCAGCACTATCTGCGACATTCATTTACAGCATGAAAACAAGAATTCGCGCTTCGGACAAGCGCAAGAGCAGTAGGCGTTGTTGTCCTTCACCTTAGGTCAGTCCGCCGGACTTCAGCAATTAATTGAATTACGATAATTATCTGGCTTTAGAAATGCGCATGGTTGCTGCTTCACCCGAAAATAAAAACTGATTAAACACATCGCAAACTTATCGCATATTGCGGGCGTACGTCTGTCGTAAACGACAGAAATGCATTCGCATACAACCGAGACACGCTGAACAAGCGCCGTTTTATTTACGACATCTTAGTCAATTGAAGTTTCTCTCTGGCACTGCGAGCGCCAACTTGAAACAAAGCGCGCCCACATGTATGCAACCACCGGGCTCATGGCAACGCAGCAATTTTACATGAACGCCAGAGGCTCGTACACGAGGGGCTTCGCCGACACATCCTTCGCACCGGTCAGATCAAGTTCAATGCTCACGCAGAACAGCGGACTGCTGTTGCCGTCGTCGCTAGTCAGCTGGATCTCATAGTTGCCGGCGGGCGCAATGACCGGCAGATTCACGTCCACCTTCAGATCCGTAGATTTGCCCTTGGCCACGGGGCATGCGAACCCATGAACGTCAATGTGGCCCAGACCAAGAGGAAGAGCGATGTGCGTGTCGCCGCACAGATTGCCGGTGTGGCCGAACACCTGCATCCCAGCTAGCTTAACACCAAGCTTGAAAGATGCCGACGAAAAATCCTGCTTCGCGTCACCATTGCCGGAAATCGACACCGGCTGACCGCGCTGAGGAGATGTCGGAGACACTTCCAAGTGGTCAAAATCAATCACTGCGCTGCTAACGTCACCACACTGCGTGATACGAGCAGACGAAAACAAGTTAGCGAGGTTTACAAGACGAAAGTCAGGTACCTCCACAGCCGGGAACGATTCCACAACGTCGTCCGCACGGACTTCCGCCTTCTCGATTTCTTCCGTCTCTATGTCTGAAATGAGCGTCGCAAACGGGTAGCTGGGCACCGAAGCAATCCCGCACTGTCCAGCGGGTCCATGCTCCTCGCGGGCAAGACGGATAAACCCTTGCTCTCCCCACGACGATCCCCACGAGTTCTTCACCTTCCAGAACTTCTGCCCGTCCTCACTGCCGTACCCCACCACGAGCACGCCATGGTCCAACTGCGTGCCACACGTCAAGTTAAACACGCCGGTCTTGTAAAACTGAAACGCCTTCTGATCTGCTTCAATTGCCACCGACACAGGCTGCTGCGCCACTGCAACCTTCAGCGCTTCTTCGTCTTGCGCATTTACGTCCTGGTATCCCGTCACCTTGACCACATTCTTCTCGCACTTGCGACAGACTTGAGCCCTCGCCTTGTAGTCATAGTCCTCCTCGCTGCACAGCCCGCCATTCTCCTCAATCCACGCAAACGCGTGGTCCATCAGTCCCCCACTGCAGCCCATGTCTCCATTATGGTCACAGTCTACGAGCTCCTGCTCCGACAAGCTCGGCAGCTTCCCGCTCGCTACGAACGCGGCGCCTTCGACAGCACCCGTGGTCGAGAACGCCCAGCACGACCCGCACATGCCTTGGTTTTTGACAGGCGTGACGCCGCCCTTCTCCTGCCAGTCCCACGTGTCGGGCGTCTCCACGTTCGTGTAGAGCTTCTCCACGCGCGCGGCCAATCGCTGCTCGACGTATCCGTCCGGCAGGGCGAGGCCTGTCATCTGGCGCTTGAACTCGTCAAACGACAGGTGCGAGAACGCATTGTGGCCGAGCGTGACGCCGGTCCACGCGTTCTCCACGTTGTGCTCGAGGATGTACAGGTCGTTCGCGATGTAATTCTCCAGACGCGTCGCAAACTCGAGCGCGCTCGAGAACGTCATCGAGTGCGTCTCCATCCAGGCGGAGAACTCGCGCTTGTACTCGGTCAGCGACTTGAGTGCGTCGGTGAGCGCTAGGCTACTGGCCAGGAACACGGAAAGCACGCGCATGGCTGCGATTGAAGTCAGGAGTGATGCTCAGTGCGGGACTTGAGGCGAATTAAATTGTGAGAGAAGGGGAACGGGCTCGATTGAAGCCATGGAGATATCTGGATGTTTGTAAGGAAGATCCAAAAGGAAGCATCGACAATCATTCCCGTGTTCTTTGGCTACCCCTGGCCAATAGGAAAACTGAAGGGATTAACGAGTATTTGACCAATCGATGCTCGATGAGAAGAAATGTATCGACCAATCAGAGTGGAGAAATGCCATCTTAGGTTGAAGTCGCGTGCCCGCGAGGAAACTGCGCGAGCGATTGCGTTTGGTGTGTAACAGAGATCAAATAGTGTTGTGTAGTATGGCTGGCACGTTCTCTCTCTCGTTTCTTAATGAGATGACGCTGCTCTGTAGAGCACCTATTCACGATGCGGGTAGGAGTGGACATACTCAAGTGCTTGTTCATCAGCGGTGAACTCCACGGTAGCGTTGAGCGAGTGATTTCAGTCACGAAAAACACTTTTTGTATCAAGTGAATGCCACATATGACCGCTCCGTACAGGTGCAAGGCGTCCACTGAACTGGATGTAGTCCAAAGCAAGCGCTACTGACAGATGCGGTGGATATTTGTGGCAGGGCTGATCAAAGCGACAACCAGATCGTGTCGGATGTAGTGATCATTCTACGCTGAGCCCTTCGGCTGTTGACGATCGACGTGATGACTGCGTTAATGCTACGCGGGTACTTTGGTTTTGGCACGCCACCACCAAGACGAATGTGCATCACATCCGCAAGTGCGCAATGCCGTTCAGAAACCCGTGCCTGCTGAAGAAACGCGTGACACCGTCTGCATGCTCTGCCTGCACACTTTACATCGTGCTCACAGCATCGAAGACCGAGTCATGAACTGATGTCGCCACTAGCTGCATGTTTACGCAGCGCATGCCATCAACGCCTGATCTACAAGTATCGGCGCCAGAGATTAAGCGGAAGCAGGGACTAACGTGCCAAGTGAGGTGTTGGCGCACTACTACACGAGGATCTCACGACAGGATCAGTGGCAGCTGGTTAGAGGCCTCGTTCGATTACGCCCTCAGGCAAATCGCTTGAATTGTCGGTTTTTAATCTGTTGACACTACTGTAGCTTCCGGAAAGTTGTTGTCCGTTGAGCGAGGTTCTTTCAAAGCACGTCGCCAGGTGAATGCTGGATGTGCAAGAGGCCAGGATCGAAACGTGATCGCTGGTCTGTTGCACACCAGCGTAAGTTGATAACATATCCGATTGACTTGTTGGTTACATGAATACCAGACAGCGTCTTCCATCAACAGGTGTCCTGTGAAGCACAGCGTGACGATTGAGATAGAAAAGACTCAGGACAGATGCCACAGTCAGCTTGCAAGCGAGTTGCATGTGATTGCCTCGTAGGATGAACGCTAGAACGCCTTCGGATATCCGGTCCGTACGTACCAAACAACGACGAGAGCGACAACCAATACGCAGCCATACCGTCGAGGCTATAGCGTCACGACGATAAATTTCCATGTAAAGCCAACCTACTCCTCGCGAGGCTTCTGCAATCTTGCACAAGCAAGTGCTCATCCAAACACTCCCACCACTAAATCGCATCCGTACCATTGCACGGACCTCGCTTTGCACCAGAATGCACAGCCAACTCTTCATGCCATTATTCTCCGACAAAATGTGTCATGGGTCTCGTTTCTACAACAGTCGTCATTCACCGCGGCAACTGTCCTTTCCACTGGCACGAGTTGCCTGCATGCGTAGAGAGCCAGTTTTTCTCGCTCCATTTGCTGATGCTTGGACGCAAATGGAGCGGCTTCCCACACAAATCGCACGCTTTTCAATCGTCGCTGATAATCCCTAGATCCCTCTGCACCACTGCCATGAGTTTCTTGCTACCCTCGCTCTCGATGCGACCAAATCCGTCACCGACAGTGATCCTACTGCTTGCATCGTCGTCCGTTAGTACTTGACCACATTTCCGAACCTGCGCACGTAAACACCGTAAAGCCGATAGCTTCTCCGTGGGTGTGCAGCCATCCCACTGCCATCTAAGATTCCAGCACCGTTATTGGTCGGAAAGTACGCACGTCTCTTCCCAATACGCCTACCTGTTCCAACGTCTCAGACGAGAGAGAGAATCCCACTCGCCATGGCCGTCGTCTCGTGCAAGTGCCTCCCGCAAGCGCTACAGCTCGCGATCGCTGACGCCGCTCGTCGTCGCTGTCCACCTTCACCCTTCCGCTGTCCGCAAGAGGATCTACTCTGCGCCATCTGCTTTGACATTCTGTGCTTCCCCGTCACGCTGCCCTGCGGGTACGTGCACTGGTCAAGTGGGACTTGAAATGAGCTCTTTCCTAGTCACTCATTCCGACCACCTACCCTCTTTGATTCGGTGACGATAGACACAACTTTGATCGCGGCTGCATCTTGACAGCGTGGGCTCATGGCTCGGCTTTACTGTCACCGTCCCGTCGAGCCCCTGGACTCTCGCAGTGTGCTCACTTGTGTCCATTATGTCGACAACAATCCGGTGTCCACTCGGCAGAAGAGCTGCAGGTGAATCTACTGCTCAAGACGCTCATTGCGTCGCTGTATCCCGCAGAGACACAGGTCGCGACTATCCCGGCCAAACAGCAGGGTCCACCTGTGATGCTGCTGCCGACGTTGCCTCCACGCACGAACGGAGGCGGTGCACTCACGACTGACACAGCAGCGTCTGCGTTCCGTCGACGGCCGAGTCTTCGCACGTTCTCGTCCTTTATATACGTGTGCGCGGCGTCGGTCACCGACCCACCTGGTTTTATCCTTGCAGTGTTGCTGCTGTTGATCCTTGTGGCTACGGCTTGCAGTCCCCAACCGGCAACTGCACCACCAACGGCCTCTGCGATGATGATGTTCGACACGATGGATCGCGTGTGCAACGGACTGTCGTTCGTTATCCACCGGATTTCGATGCAAATGGACCAACTGGATCAGCTGTCGCCATGGATCCGCCTCCTCTCGTACGTCCTCTAGGTGTGCGTGCTCATCTTGTGTTTTAGTTCAAGCCACGTCGAGTAGTCGCTTCTTCCAACTCGAGGCGTTTTAACAGTTTGTGTGTATTTATGTCAGCTGAGCTCAGTTACCAGCAAAATGAGAGCACGCCAGGACATGGCAACACTTGTACAATTACGGAGAGATTATTACATGTTGTCTTGGTTTGTTACGTTTGGGGTGCGAAGATCAAAACGTGTTGTCTAGCTGGGAAGGCTGCAGGCGCAAGCTATATTTCCATTATCGACTACGTTTGGTCAGTTAGATACGCTACCATTACATATAAGCTGCCAAGTGCATGAGTGTCCGGGTCAACACATCAAGACCAGCATTGGAATTCTTTGTTGGAGTATTGCTCCGCATCACATAAGCTTGGAGGAGCCGAATGTCGACCAGGTCGAGCAAAGACAATGAAACAATGTGGCTCGAATAACCATCGTCACGATATGGCCACGTCGAGAGATACATGACAGACATCTCGTCGCGCAATTTCGAGGCAGCGGGTCGTCCAACGCTGCAACTAAAGTGTGCCAGCTTCAAACGACCTGTACGTGTCAATATTGCCCACATTTACAAGCTGATTGACATACTGGGGGCAAGCTGACAAATGAAGCAACAACGACTCGACTCATTGCTGGCGTACATAGTTCTGGATGTCAGCGTCATGGAAATTTGTGGGAAGAAAAATGTGGTTGCTATGCCAACTTGATCAGGCAGAAACTACAGAATGCCACTGGAAAGCTAATGTGCGATAGTCTGAGGTAAACTCTCGACCATGTTGTGGTGTTGTATGAATATCAGTGGCAGGTGCGGCGCCGTCAGCAGCCAATTTCGAATGGCCTTACTATGCTATCTTCGTGGACTCGCTGAGCGACACGGCTATGCATGTGCTGCAGACCATACTTCGAAGTCATCCGTAGCTGAACAGCCTTCATAATATGTATTTCGTGTAATTCTCCCGCACATGTATCTTTTATCGGCTGTACTAGTATCAGCAAGAAAAGTTTAGCATCGACACCAAGCATCCGAATACTTGGCGTTGTTTATGCGGACAGAGACTTTGGGTGTTAAGTCCGTCGTTTATAAGTCAGCGGCAATATCGTGGCATATAGCAAGTATCTTGCGAGCTCTTTGCTGCTGCCTCCTCTACTCAGCAATTTCTGCCGCCGCTGGCCCTCGATTTCAACTTGGACTATCGTTTGTCAACGTTCAGTAGCGTTTAGCTGCCACAACAAGCTGCAATTTCTCTAGATCTAAAAGCATGGCTGTGGATACTAAGAGCCGTTCATATAGTTTACCCACGCCATGTTGCAACCAAATGCGCATTGTGCCCACGGACACAAACTTGGGTTCGAGCAGCCCGCGGAACTCACGTACATTCGCGTGGAATTGTGTAACTGGTTGGAGGCGTTTTTCGCGCACCAGAAAAATCTAAATGCAACAATTATTGCCGGAGCTATACACTGAGGGCTAAGTCTATGAAGACCACCACGTTCAAGTCGATGAATGTAGTACCCATCTCGTCGAACGCTTTTTAGCACGCGAAGCGTAACCAGTGCTGAAAAATGACTCGTGTAGACCAAACGATAACTCCGTGATGCGCAAATGTCGGACTGTGTCGGGGAAGCTGTCGCATTCGACCACCGATACTGTAGATTCTAATTTAGTCTTTTTTTTGGGTCCCGTACAGCTTGGCTTTTTACTATGCGTTGCAGTTCAATCACAGTCCAGCCGATCACTTTTGCATGGACGAAAGCCACGGCGGAAGAGGGCGGATACTGCTGCCGCCATCCCTTCGCTCAGGGAAATGAGTCCCTAGCGATTGTGACAATAACTTCAACCCTCCCAGGTTTTGTATTAATACGAGTAGTCGCCCCCTATCACCGACAATAAGAAGCGACTTGTATGTCCACCTTGACTAATAAATGACTTGGAGGCTGCGTAATGCAAACAGGGTCAACAGCTTCAAATATAGCAAGCTATATAAAAAATGTGCCCTACGCGATGTAGTGAAGAAGCATCATTTGTGTAGTAGTAAGTATTTGTCCATGTCGTCAACTTGATCGTAAATCGTTGACTCAGTGCTCGAAATTGTAATTATCGTAGATTTGACCGGTTGTGTGTCCTCTGATCGTGCTCGCACTGGCGAGCTGTTTCGTTATATGACGTATCGGAGCACACGCGACTCGAACAGTTTGCGATCGTTAGCATCTCTACGCAGAATCACTAAATTCTTACCTGTGGAGACTGCGTGAAGTACTTGTCGATTTTGTATTGGACATACCTTGTCTGTCGGTGACCGTATGCACGTCGCTGTCACTTTCATATCTTGGCATCGAGTCTATTTGTGTCTTGGGCGTGTCCACACTGACAAGAGTCGTGTTGAAATTCTCGTTGCCGATAATCTGCAGAAGCAGACTCCGCATCTCTAGAGTGAAAAGCTCGACTACACATGTAAAAGAAATATCAGCTAGTGGTGCTTCCAACACACATTTGCTGTGTATGGTGGCAGTCCGTAATCGTTCGAGTTGTATTGTTTGCCAGGATAGAGCCAGAAAGCGTCATCCTCTCAAGTGGGAAAGGAAGGTAATGACTGCATGGGGTTGTGTTCCGGCGTGCACGATCCGTTGCGCTTGCATCGAAGAAGGCTCCAGGCGCCCCGCTGTCAAAATACTGCAAGCAAATAGTACGACGTGGATAGGTTTGGCCATATATGATGGTTACACCATCCATCAATACTGCGCAGTCACACATGGCTAAAGCTTCAGACTTGCTGGTTACAATCAACTTCGACATGCATAAGGTCAACGTCATCGGCCATGGACGATGTCACCTTTTTCCTTCACTAGAATCTTACCTGGCGGCTTGCACCATCCGTTACCGTGCCAGACGCGTCATTATAACTACTAAAGGAGGAAAGAAATATACTGCATAAATGCAATTTACCCGCCGTGCGCGCGGGACTCCTACAATTGTACTGATGCGAGTGTAACAAGATGTGCACAACAGTAATTTCACGAATTGACACCCTACGTGCCCGAACTGTATGGAGGAGGTTCCACAACTTTAAAATGATACATGAGAGCCTATTTAGGACGGACTCAAACGTTACAAGAAAGACTCGTTTGATTCAGAGCTGAAAAAAACCAATTGTTTTGACAAGGTAATCAGCTTTTTAATTCATGCAATAAACCCGATTTTAAGTAAAACATGGTTTATTCGGCTCGATGGAGCAGGCGTTCATTGGGAAGATTTACCACCGGAATCGTCGTCACCATCATGCATGTAGTCGTTGAAGGTCGGCAAGTTGCTCTCAATGAATGTCAGTTCTGCTGAAATAGGGGGGGGGCCGAATTACCCACGATTGTTGTAGCATCATGAGGTGCTATTGCGCTTCATCCACCATTGCCGGATCAACACGCCGAGCAGGACAAACGATTGCTAACAGGAATCGACATCACAGAAGTGGGGTAAGATCGAAGGCTCATCAAGACCTTATATGAAGGAAGAAAACCGATGTGCGTACATCTGTAGGAAGAGGACGAATAAGGAAAGTGCGGCGGGTAGCGCCAAGTTAGTCCTTCCCAAAAATAACCAAGTCGTAATGAAGCCTACTTTCCCGCTTGCCAGTTTGCACTCCTTGCACTGTGTATCGAAACTCGCAACAAGTTTGTCGAATCGTTTTCCGTTAAGGCAGTTTCTCAGCTTTGATTGAATGTCACCGCAATCATGAACTAGGTCCACTAAATACCAATGGTGTAACGGGGCACCCTGAAGCTTGTACTGGTGACAGTACAAGCTACTTATTCTGATAACAGAATAAGGCGGTGCCTCGTAACTTCACGTACACTAGTACGTGCAGAGGAAGACGGTAAGAAGAAGCGAGTACTTGGTTAGAGTAAAAAGTAGAACTGTATTTATAATAGTTAATGTCTGCAATAAATCACTATTTATCTTCATCTAACTATGTCTAAATACAAATGTGTAAATCAATTATCTGCTCACCACTCATTGCGTGCGTCTGTCGTGGCGCGTCTTCGTTGGTTGATATAATGGCCTATATCAACCAATTAGGAACTACTTGTAAGTGCTACAGAATATTTGTCCTTATGACAATATTCTGAGAATATAACTCTTATAGTTATATTCTATTAACAATTTCTTATAAATTGTTATGTAACGATTCACCCCGTTACATCACCCCCCTTAACCATCAGTCACTTTAGTGACTGATTGACTAAATGGATACTCGTCCCAAATCATTTGGGACAGGGTTTGCACTTGTTGGTCCGCGTCCACTTTCCAACATTTCATCGCATGGTTAACAAGCCCATGCGATGCGCGAGCAAGGCCGCCGAGAGCGCGTCTGCACGTCTCTGTGCGGACGCCGAAGCAGAAACAACAGCAACTGATGTCCCATCGGTTGCTGAAGAGACCCAGCCTGTGTCACTTGGTGACGCAGGCGCTGGTCATGAAGACACTCGTGTCTTCACAGAGTACGAGCTCGGTGTCTCGTACTCTCCTGATACGGATGACGGATCCGTATCGACGGCGATTGAATCTAAGCCGCCTGCCAAGCGTGGCATGGACGATGCTTTGCGTCGCAGCATCTTTGGTTCATCTGATGAGTCAGACGAACCATCGCCGAAGCGAAGGCGCTCGAGGTCGCGAGACTCGGGCGCTAATAGTGGTGTCGGTTCTCCAATGGACACCACTTCACAGCGAGGTGCCAGTACTTCTGTCGGCACGTCGCAGGAAGAGCGGGACCGCAATGTGTTGCGTCTCGCTCCAGAAAAGAAGGCATGGATGCCTCCGAAATCTGTCATGGATCACTTGTCGGCGACGACGAGTGATCGTTATCGAACACGATTGTTCGATTCGTCAAGGATCCATCAACTTGACCCCAGCGCGAAATACTATCGCGCTGAACATGAGTTCTTCATCGATGCTTTCTTCAGACATCGATGGTACAGTGGGAATCACAAACGTGATGGTCCCTCACTACTTCAGGCGTGGAACGCCTACATCCATAACCTCGAGGATGTAGGTCGTGACGCTTGGAACGACAAACTTATCAAAGCT